CTCGTGTAGATAGTTGGATTTAGCTCTTGGGTGGGCTTCAGGTGCGGGTTACTGTCAGACGTGCTGTGTAACTGGCCTTGGGCTGCCTGTCTCTATCACACTGTTCATTGTTTGTGTCTGCATCTACTATATCTGCACTTACATGGGTGGGGTCAATCTGTGTAAACGGGTCAGTTTCTTCCAGCTTGTTGCAGGATTTTGACAGGATTGAGGCTCACTGAGGGCTTTCTCCACCTGTTAGCTACTCTGCCTCACCCATGAGGTTTCCTGATCTTCCTCCAAAGCCTTCCAACAAGGAAGTGTAAAATGAAGTAAGGTTATCCAGATACAGGTAGTGGGCATCTTACTTGGGGATCATGCATTCAGGCACTCAATGAGGGGAAAGTAATCTCCAACTATAATCCCCCTTAGGAAGGATCACTGCAGTTTAGGGTTGTGTATAGCCAACATTCTCTGCAGGAGCAAGTTCAGCCACCCTGGGCTAAATCAAAAGTCTCCTGTTGAGGATGTTGCTGGCCCAGCCCACAGAAAGGGACAGTCACTTTCCTCAGATCTGAAACAATAGCCACAGAGGGTTTCACACTTTGTATGTCTTCACTCTGAGCCATTTTCCCATTCCCCCACTGAACTATACCCAGTGGAGTATCTGGTATTGGCAGGGCTCATCCAAACAGTCAACCATTGGGGGTGGTTATGTATGCCAGATAGGAGGGTTATGGCACTCCTTCTTCCCATGCTGGCATGGGCTAAATTCACAGGGGAATCTGAACTTGCCCTCCTCCCAACAAAGCAGCCTCAGAGGCCACCACTTACCTGTCTGGCTCCTAGACAGAAGCTTCCTCATGAGACACAGTCTGAAAATCCCAGCTCTGGTATCACTCTCCTGCACCCACTCACCACCTAACCAAGCAGAAGTGGGAGAAAAATCAGCTCTATGCAGCATTCTTCTCTCTATATGAAGTTGGTCCCAGCAGGCCAGGGCCAAAATTTCCAGCTTTTGGCCTCTAAACCCAGCAGAACAGGCCTAATATCCCAGCCCTGTACCATTTCCCTGTGCTACTGAATCTAGCAGGACTGGAGTCAGCCATGCAGCTCAACAAGTTGAGGAAGACAGTTCTTTCCTAAGCCACACAGTTTAGTCACTCACTATTTGGATCTCCACCCATAAACAGAGGGCCTCTTCAAGTCACTGCCAGGTTTAGCCAACAGATCCTTCTGCAGGACCCAGTTACAACAGCATGGGCTTTCCAGCAGTTGGATACCAGAGCAATCTCTCCAGACTCTTCAGACTCTTGCTAAAACAATAGGAGCACTCCTTCACTGAGATGGTGTGGTCAGAGTCTCCCAAGCAGATAGAATTCCCACTGATTTTTTTTCACCGTTGATGCTATGCAGGCTGGGTTAGGGATCCTGTGTAGGGTTGAGACCCCATGCTCTTAGGGAGTGGAAGCTATGTAACAGTGATATATCCCTTCAGCTTTTCAGCTCCCCCTGCACCTGCATGAGGGCAAACTCCCCTTCCCCAACTCTGCCCTTTTTAACAGTTTCTATGGCTTTTTCTGTACTCCTTTGTTATAATCTTCCAGATCAGCTATACTTTAAGTGGTTTTTCAATTGTAATTTAGCTATAAGTCTGATTTGGGGAGGGGAGCAAGTGGATGCCATTTCCAGACTCTCTGCAACCATCTTGGAATCTCATATGGGACTTTTTAAAGTCTCATTTTACTTTGCCAATTTTTATTTCATGTATTTTGAAACTGCACTCATACGTATACATTTGTAATTGTTATATTTTACTACATAATGGTTTGTTTACTTTTATCATGGGCTTTTTGCTTTTACTATAGCCAAATCAATTTTTCCATGGTTATTGTTTATATGTTTTCCATCCTTTTTCTCATAGTTTATTTGTGACTATGTTATTTAAAATATGTCTCTTATAGACTGAACATATTTGAATGTTGATTTTTAAACATTCTAATAATTTTTGCCTTTTTATTGCAATGTTTAGTCCATTTATATTTAACACACTTAAAAGTATAGTTGGATTTAAGGCTGCCATTTTGGTATCTGTTTTCTGTATGCCTAATCTGTTGAGGATTTTTTAAAATTTAATATACTTTATATTATAGGGGAGTTTTAGGTTCACAGTACAAATGAGGAGAGAGTCGCAATTTACCCCCTACTCTACACATGCATAATATCTCCCACTATTAACATCTTCCACCAGAGTGATAACCTTTGTTATAGTCAAGAAACCCACACTGATATATCATTATCTCCCAAAGTTCATAGTTTACATTAGTGTTCATTCTTGCTGTTGTGTGTTCTATACATATTGAAAAGTGTATGATGGCATATATCCTCCATTATTATCCACCGATATAGTATTATACAGAACAGTTTTACTGCCCTAAAAATCTTCTGTACTCTACGTATTCATCACTTTCTCTCCTCTAATCTCGGGCATCCTCTAATCTTTTTACTGTCTCAATAAATTTGCTTTTGCCTTGTATAGTTGAAATGATAAAGTATGTAGCCTTTGGTGTCTTACACTTCATAATATTTAATCTGAAAAACTTTCTTTACGTGGTTCAGTAATGCTATTGATGAATTCTCTCAGAATTTATTTGACAAGAGCTTTATGTTGTCTTTTTTTTAATAGATAATTTTGCTGAAAATATCATTGGTTGACGTTATCTTTGACTTTTAACAATTTGATTAGGGTTTTCCAGGGTGTGGTTTTTTTTATTTTTGTCCTTTTGAGATTCATTATGCTTTACTGGTACATAAGCTAAAGTTTTTGCTAACAATGAATGTGCTAGGCATTATTACTTAAATTTTTTTCAAGCTCTTTTTTTCTCTCTCTCTTTGTGACACACTATTTACATCTGTGTTGGGTTATTTTGAAATTGACTCACAGATCTGATTCTATTAATTTTTCCTTATTCTTTATTATTTCTATTCAGATTGCTTACTTTCTATTGACCTGTTTACAAAGTTGTTGATTCTTTTTTTCTATTTCTGACCTGCTATTGAATCTATGTGGTGAATTTTTCATATGAGTTATTATACTTTTAATTCTAGAATTTTATTTGGTACTTTTTTTAATAGTTTATATTCTGGCACTCCATGCCAAGTTTTCCATTATTTCTTTGAAACATTTCGGACAAATACAAAGTCTTTTTGGGCAAAATACCACATAATAGCAACACTAATTACTTATTACTCTGACTGTCTTTTTCTGAATATGGGTCATTTTCTTCCTTCTTTATTTTTGTTTTGTTTTCTTGTATGTCCAGTAATTTTTGCTAAAAACTTCAGCTTTGTGAATACTTATAGTAATTCAAAATCAGTTATATCTATTATTCTAATGATTATTGTGTGTGTTTTCTAGCAGACGATTCACTTAGTTGGATTCAAGCTTCATATTCTGCCCTACTGTGCCCCCCGACCCCCACCCTCAATTTCCACTTCAAGTATGAAGCAGTTTATATATTAGCTTAGTTTTTTAAACTCCAGCTACTGCTTTTTACCCTGGCCCCCTACGGAGAGATAGGTTCTCCTTCTCCTCATGTTTTTTTTTAGCTCTTAGGCAATGATTTGATGAGTGCTTCTACATAGATTTGGGGGCTTACTTTCTACTATTTTCTTTTTCCCAGGGATTTACCCTTTATACTATCCTACTGTTTTGTCAGCCTCAATTTGTAAAACCTGAGCCTGTAAGAATTACTTTTTCTTCTCTTTGAGCTATTAACAAGTTGTGAAATTCTGATATAAAAAAAAACAGAAATCTCAATCTCATTAGGAACACTTTTATTTTTTAAAACTCTTTTCTGATATCTTTATGTCTGCTTTTCTTAAGCCCTCTGTGATCTACACAACAATTGCTTAGTTTAACTCAATCTGGAGTTCTGGCAGGATTTAGACTCAGATTTTAGTTCTCATTTGTTCTACAGTTCTCTTACTTTCAGAATTTATCCCTAATCTCCAGCTCGTTTGCCATCCAATTCTATTCTGTACCATCTTTGAAGAAGTACTCTTGGATTTTCTACCTTAAAAGAAGGTAGAGGGAGGGACCTCAGGAGGTTGGCTGGCTGGGGAGGGACCGCAGGAGGGCTCCAGGGCATGTCCAGCCTGTCTCCCCCAATCCCAATTGGCTGGACCCCAGCAGCAAGCTAACCTACTGGCCAAGACATCTGCCCTCAGGTAGTCAATGCGCATCATAGCAAATGGTTGAACAAACAGTCTTTTATTATATAATACCTGAGAGATTGTTTTCCTGCCCGTTTCACTTATCCCTTCATGCCAGAAGTCACTCCCATACATTTCAAAACCATATTTTTCTTGCGCATTATAGTAATCTTGAAGGATGGGGAATTAACCTCTTCATTGAAGGCTGAGAAATTTTCTGCTGTTATGACATATTGTGTCTTATACATACTTTTGTTGTACTATTTGTAATACCTTGCAGGTTTCTGTTTACATATACTTTTTTGAAGGTATATATTACAAGTTTTGAGGCTATAACATCTTATAAGCAGGGACAGTGTTTTGTATGTCTTCTTTTTAGTATGTTTTTTATTGATTTTTAGAGAGAGAGGAAGGGAAAGAGATAGATAGAAATGTCAGTAAGAGAGAAACATCATCAACTGGGGGAAAAGCCCGCAACCTAGGCATGTGCCTTGACAAGGAATCGAACCAGTGTCCTATTGGTTCATGGGTCAATGCTCAACCACTGAGCCATACTGGCTGAGCTGTTTTGTGTCTTAGCATCCCAGTGAGCAAATGCATCCCAGTGAAGTACAAAGTAACTTCACAGTAAATAGTTTAAAATTAGTTATTAAATAAATTTGGTGGCAGGTACTTATACTTTGATTTTGTTTTCCTCACAATAGGCTTTCTTACAAGTTTTCTTATGAATGCCACAAAGAGAAACAGGATCAAAATTAGTACCTAATATCTAATCAACTTGTGATAACAATTTCTATCCATTGCAGGAATTAGTATCTTTCAATGATGTGACTGTGGACTTCACACAGGAGGAATGGCAGCACCTGGATCCTGCTCAGAAGATGCTATACATGGATGTAATGTTGGAAAACTATTGCCACCTCATTTCTGTGGGTCAGAAAACCTTTTTGACACTTTAAGTAGCATGTGTTTTCTTTCAAAGTGCCTAAAGTATGTGTGATCTTGAATTTCAGAGATAACAGATGATGATTCCTTTGTGGTCAATAGAAAGGATAATTGTATCTTTCACTTGCTCAGTACAAGGTGTTAAGGTTACTGTTACATAAAGGTGTATCTTAATATGCAGTATTAAAAAAAAAAAAACCTTACTAGTTTTTTCAAGTATATTGAACCTTGAGCAACTTAATCAAAATCTTTCCTTATCAGGGTGTCACATGACCAAGCCTGATGTGATCCTGAAGTTGGAACAAGGAGAAGAGCCATGGACATCATTGACAGGTCAGACCTACTTAGGTGAGTTTCTGACTCTCAGGCAGATGAAACTAGTGGAAAAGAAATGTTTAAATGGTTATGAAGTTAGTGACAAGATATCTATCACTTGTTATTATTTGTTTTTTATATGAAATTGAAATTCTTAATTATTCAATGACTAACATAATAAGTCTTAATCTGTTCTTTTCAAATTTATTTCTCTCTTGGAAACTCTAATTTCCACTTATTTCAGTCTATTAACTTTTTCCCAACAATGTAGGATTTGTCATATCTGTGTTTTTCATTGTATTGTATTCTCACTTTCATGATTTCTTCTCCATGGATTATGCTTGACCACTCCTCATATCCACTGTTGTGTTTTTTTCAATGAATTCCCTTGCTACTTAAGAATTATGACATATATAGTAGTTGTATATGATTATAAAGTGTAATATCTGATTATACTTGGTTGATGCTTAAGAATTCTTTCCCTCAAAGATAAGATCCCTTGTTTCAGAATTTGCTGTAGTATATAACATGTTAGGTATTTAGTATTTGCCTCATGAACTGTTTGTGGAGCTGTACATGGGAGATATCTTGTTTCCCTCATTCAGAAAGCATGTACAGTAGGCCCTCGGGTTATTCAGATCCGTTCCTACAGTGCGACCTAACGTGATTCTTGTCATAAGTTGGAACCTAACTACATAAGCACCTATGTCATTCACATGGAGCACATACATAGCAGTAATAAACTGAAACAGTAAAACAATTTTAAAGAAAGATAACAATTCCTGACCTTTACTTGTGGTAAATAAATAATAAAAAACATAAAGCACACATGATGGAACTTTCTCTTTTTTATAAGTAAATAGGAGATGGCTATGTAACCATGAAACAACGTACATTGAGTCCGACATAACCTGAGGACTACTTGTACTTATAAGTTCCTCTCAGGATATACCTGTTTAGGCCATGGTAGTATACATTCTAACTGAAATGTTTTATTTTTACCAAACACTACCTATGACACATAAAATCATTGTAAACTTTTTATGGCTGATATTTGTCAGATATAGGAACAACTCTTAAAACTTGAATATAAAGAGTAATTATAGGAATGTAAAGTTTTATTTATAGAAAAATCCCTTGTATGTTAGTATTGATGGTAATGGACTCAAGGCAGAAAAATATTTTTGAGCCTGGGTTTAGCATTGCCCCACTAGATTTGGATGATTGCAAAGTAGCAGAAGTCAAATATAGCTCTAACCTTATAAAAGAAATGAAGGTAAAAATTAAAGAACAAACTAGAACCATAATGAACAATCTCATTTGGAGTTGGGAATGTTACTGTAAATTGGAGAAAGACTTGAACAGTTTCTTTACATCTGTCAGCTATTAAAAAAGGAATTTTTTAATAATTTATGGTTATGAGAGGGTTTTTTTTAAATTATTATACAGCAATCTGAATACACCAGTGAGTATAACCTTAGTCTGTTTTAAATTTCCTGTTGTATTCTCTTAATTTTGTTTTGTTTTGTGTGTGTGTGTGTGTGTGTGTGTGTGTGTGTTTCAGAAAAGAATATGATTCTCAGCTATATGGAGAATTAGACCTAGACTATAGGCTAGTTTTTCTAAACACTAGGAAATTAATTGATGCTTAGAATTCTTAATTATTGATGGCTACAAGGACAGGAGTGGTAGAACAACTGGAAGTGTTTTACCTTGCAATCCAAAAGTGATAAATAAAAGTATAGCCTCTGATCTGAGTCCTCCCGAAGTAATCCTTTTTCTAATAGTTTCCCTAAATAAGCTTTTCTACTAATCTTGTCCATCCTACTAAAAGCTCAATGCCCTTGATAGTTTCACTTTGTTGCCTATGAACCTACCTATCAAAACATTAATTCCTCTTCCACCATTTTTGTTTCCTCTTCACTGCTTCTTTTGTTTGGTCAACTTTATGTATGATGTTCTAGTGAAAATTGGAAGAGTTATTGGCATTCACTGCTTTTTTTTTTTTTTTTATTCTTTTCCACATTGAAGCAGATGTTTTATTTAGCTTTTGTGTCCCATGCAGTGAGTAATTTGTCTGAGGTCTTCTTTTGCCTCACATAATAGACCCTAGTTCAATTCCTTTTCATAGCAAATGTGTGAATATTCACAAGTTATTATTAATTATATTCTTTTCTAGAAAAAAACTGGAAAGCTGAAGACATTTTAGTGAAATTCAAGAAACACCAACAGAAGTATTCTAGATCAGCTGTATTCATCAGTCATAAAAAACTGATTAAGGAGAATAATAATGCATATGACAACACAGTTACATTAAGCAAAAACCCTATAGATTCAAAAAATCTAATTCCTGAATATAACCATCATGGAAATATTTTTAAAAATGTATCAGAATTAGTCATCAGTAATATAAGTCCTGCAAGAAAGAGGCACAGTGAGTATGATGGATATGAGAAGTCACTCTTTAGAGCTAAATCAGAGACAGCTCACTATGGAGTCAAATCTTATAATCAAAATGGTAGGGCTATCAGTCATAATGAAGTTTGTATGCAATATCAGAAGATGGAAACTCCAGCTCAATCATTTGTATATAATGACTGCAAGAAATTATTGCTTAAAAAGGGAAGCTTACTTACATATCAGAGAACATACATAAGAGAAAACACATCTGAATATAATAAAAGGAGAAGAGCAACTGATATTGAAAAAAAACATATTTGCACTGAATGTGGAAAGTCCTTCTGCAGGAAGTCAGTATTGATTCTGCATCAGGGAATTCACACAGAGGAAAAACCCTATCAATGTCATCAGTGTGGAAGTTCATTTAGAAGAAAGTCATATCTCACTGATCATCAGAGAACACACACAGGAGAGAAACCCTTTGTTTGTAATGAATGTGGTAAGTCCTTTCGTTTAAAGACAGCTCTCACTGATCATCAAAGAACACATACAGGAGAGAAATCATATGAATGTTTACAGTGTAGGAATGCCTTCAGATTGAAGTCACATCTCATCCGTCATCAGAGAACTCATACAGGAGAGAAACCATATGAGTGTAATGACTGTGGGAAGTCTTTCCGCCAGAAGACAACCCTCTCTCTACATCAGAGAATTCATACAGGTGAGAAGCCTTATATTTGTGTTGAATGTGGGAAGTCATTTCACCAGAAGGCAAACCTTACTGTACATCAGAGAACTCATACAGGGGAAAAGCCTTATATTTGTAATGAATGTGGGAAATCCTTTTCCCAGAAGACAACTCTTGCTCTTCATGAGAAAACTCATAATAAGGAGAAACCCTATATTTGTAATGAATGTGAAAAGTCCTTCCGCCAGAAGACAACCCTTGTATTACATCAGAGAACACATACTGGGGAAAAATCTTATGAATGCCCTCACTGTGGGAAGGCCTTTAGAATGAAGTCATACCTCATTGATCATCACAGAACTCACACAGGAGAGAAACCATATGAATGTAATGAATGTGGTAAATCCTTCAGTCAGAAGACAAATCTCAATCTACATCAGAGAATCCATACAGGGGAAAAACCCTATGTTTGTAATGAATGTGGGAAGTCCTTTCGCCAGAAAGCAACCCTCACTGTACATCACAAAATACATACAGGTCAGAAATCCTATGAATGTTCTCAGTGTGGGAAAGCCTTTAGCAGGAAGTCATATCTTGTTCATCATCAAAGAACGCATACAGGAGAGAAACCATACAAGTGCAATGAATGTGAAAAGTGCTTTCGCCAAAAGACAAATCTCATTGTACATCAGAGAACTCACTCAGGGGAGAAACCCTATATTTGTAATGAGTGTGGTAAGTCCTTTAGTTATAAGAGAAACCTCATTGTCCACCAGAGAACTCATAAGGGAGAAAAAATGGACACGCAATAAAATGTTATTTCTTTGGAAAGCCTTCCCAAGTTATTGTAAAACTTTAGTTTTTAAAATTATTCTAATGTAATTTTAATCACATGTTATTAATTTAAAGTTTCATACAGCATAACTTTTGTACTGTTTAGTAGCATAAAAATAGGTATGATCATTGTTACTGAACTCTATCAGCAGTGAATCTAATTTTTGTTTTCAAGTTCTGACTCAATTTATTTTTTAAAAACTTATACATGGAGGGCAAGGTTTTTAAATGGCTATAAGCATTAGTTTCCATAAGAGAAATGAAATATGAACTATATTTTTCATTGCATTTGGTGGAAAAAGAAAACCATAGTTATTACTTCTCCAAAGATTATCACTTCCCTGGCTTATAACATCATGAAGTAGTTTTTGCATGTCTACCTAATTTTATCATACATCATGAATTCTTTCTTTTTTCACTCAACATTCTGAAGATTCATACATTATTGTATGTGGCAGAAGTGTTTTCATATTTATTTTGTATAGTATTCCACTTTAAGAATATCCTGCTGTTTATCCTTTTGATGGTTATTTGTATTTTTTTTATAATTTTGTGTTATAATAAAGATGCTATAATAAGTATTATTGTATATTTCTTTGTGCATGTGTGTAGGTTTTTCTGTTGGTTTTATATTAAGACTGGAATTATTCCGTCCAAAGGGAGATGTAAGCTTTTTTAGTTTATGATAAATACTGTCAAATATGTCAGGCCTTTCTCAAAATGAAATAATGCACTTTGAAAAGTAACAGCTCTGATTGTAATCAATGTGGAGAAAGGTCTTTAGCAATCATTCAACTGGAGAATTCCTATGAAGTCAAATTCTTATGTCATAATTGTGAGAATATTAGTCATGCATATATGAATATCATTAATGTAGAAAGATCTTTAGTTGTGTCTGAAACCTTACACAATGTTTTTAGAGGGAATCCTATAATTGTCATGATTAAAAGAGTAATTTTAGGCATAATTTACACCTAATCCAACATCAGAGAATTTAAACAAGAGACAGAAAGGTTAAGAAGGAACATAGGTGAATAAAATTTGGGAGTATAGTTATTACAGAAGACATAGTTACAGTAAATATGTATAAGTAATGCTATATATAATTCCTGTCCTATCTAATAAAAGAGTAATATGCAAATTGACCATCACTCAAATATAAGATGGCTGCCCCCATGTGGACACAACATGGCCAGCAGAGGAGGACAGTTGGGAGGGACCAGGCCTGCAAGGGAGGTCAGTTGAGGGCAATCAAGCCTGCAGGGGAGGGCAGTTAGGGGTGACCAGGATGGCAGAGGAGGGAAGTTGGGGGCAACCAGGCCTGCGGGGAAGGGCAGTTGGGGGAAGGGGGAGAAGAGAAACCAGGCCTGCAGGGGAGGGCAGATGCAATCAGGCTGGCAGGGGAGCAGTTAGGTATTAATCACGCTGGTAGGGGAGTGGTTAGAGATTGATCAGGCTACAGACAGAAGCAGTTATGGGCAATCAGGCAGGCAGGCCAACAGGCCAATATCCCTCATGAACATAAGTGCCAAAATCCTCAACAAAATTCTAGCAAATCAGATCCAGCAGCACATCAGAAAGATCATACACCATGACCAAGTAGGATTTATCCCAGAGATGCAAGAATGGTACAATATCTGCAAATCAAAAAACGTGATACATCATATAAACAAATTGAGAAATAAACATCACAGTCATTGCCAAAACCAGTTTGGATCAATGGATAGAGCCTCAGCCTGCAGACTGAAAGGTCCCAGGTTCGATTCCAGTCAAGGGCATGTACCTTGATTGCAGGAACATCCCCTGATTGATTCTCTCTCATCAATGTTTCTAATTTTCTATCCCTCTCTCTCTGTAAAAAAAAATTAATAAAATATATTTTTAAAGAAATCACAGTCATATCAATTGATGCATAAAATGCTTCTGAAAAAAAAATCCATTACTCTTTCTTGGTAAAATCTCTCAGCAAGGTGGGAATAGAAGAATCATAACATAATAAAAGCCATATGTGACAAATCCACAACCAACATCATACTTAATGGGTAAAAACTAAGACAATTTATCTAACAACAGGATGAAGACAGGGATGCCCACTCTCACCACTCATGTTCAACATAGTGCTGAAAGTACCATCCATTGCAATCAGACAAGAAGAAGAAATAAAAGGCATCCAAATTGGAAAAGAAGTAAAACTGTCCTTATTCACATATGACATGATATTGTACATTAAAAAAAAACCTAAAAATTTCATCAAAAAACTATTAGACTTAATAAATGAATTTAGCAATGTAGAAGAATACAAAATTGATACCAAGAAATCTATGACATTTGTATACACCAATAGTGAACTTACAGAAAGAGAGACCTAGAAATTAAGATACTTAGAAATAGAATTAACCTATTCATGGAAAAATACAGGACACTGAAAAAAAAAAAAAAAAAGATGGAGGAAGATATAAACAAATGGAAGAACATACCATGTTCATGGATTGGTAGTATCAACGTCATTAAAATGTCCATACTACCCAAAGCAATCTATAGATTCAACACAATCCCCATTAAAATACCAATGACATATTTCATAGACCTAGAAATAACTCTCCAAAAATTCATATGGGATTAAAAAAAAAAAAAAAGACCCCGAATAGCTTCAGCAATCTTGAGAAAGAAGTATAAAATAGGTGGGTCTCAATACCAGATTTCAAGCTGTATTACAAAGACAAAGCCACTCTTCTCAAAACAACCTGGTACTGGCACAAGAACAGACATACAGACCAATGGAATAGTCTGTATAACAACCCAAACCACTATGCTCAATTGATATTTGACAAAGGAGGCATGAATATACAATGGAGTCAAGACATTCTCTTCAATAAATGGTGTTGGGAAAATTGGACAGATACATGGGAAAAAAAATGGAACTAGACCACCAACTACACTATACACAAAAATAAACACAAAATGGATAAAGAACTTAAACATAAGACAGGAGACCATAAAAATACTAGAGGAATCCACACGCAGCAAAATCTCAGACGTACTTCAAAGCAATTTCTTCACCTATACCGCTCCTAGGGCAATGGAAAGTAAAGAGAAAAGTAACAAATGGGACTACATCAAAATAAAAAGCTTTTTCACAGCAAAAGAAACCAACAAAACAACAAGAAAACCCACTGAATGGGAGAACATTTGCCAGTATTATCACTGATAAATCTTTAACATTTACAGGGAACTCATACAACTTAATAAAAGAAAGATAAATGTCCTATAAAAAGGGAGGGGGGGCACAGACCTTTTTTTAAATAGGTACTTTTCAAAATAAGACAGATGGAAGGCCAAGAGACATATGAAAACATGCTCAAAGTCACTAATTATCCAAGAGTTGCAAATCAAAATGACACTTCTCACACCTCTCAGAGTGGCTATCATCAACAAATCAACAAGGGCTGGAGAGGATGCAGAGAAGAAAGCCTTGTGCACTGCTGGTGGTAATGCAGACTGGTGTAGCTACTGTGGAGAACAGTATGGAATTTCCTCAAAATTTTAAAAATGTAACTCCCATTTTACCCAGTAATCCCACTTCTAGGAATATATCCCAAGAAACTAAAAACACCAATCAGAAAGGATATATGTACCCCTATGTTCATAGCAGCACAATTCACTATAGCTAAGATTTGGAAACAGCCTATGATTGGATTAGAAAACTATGGTACATCTATACAATGGAATATTATGCTGCTATAAAAAAGAAAGAATTCTTACCATTTGCAGCAGCATAAGTGGAACTGGAGAGTATTTAGTGAAATAAGCTAGGCAATGAAAGAAAAATGCCACATGGTCTCACTCATTTATTGAAAATGAAGAACATTATAACCTTATTAACAAAAAGATAGATACAAATGCAGTAAAGCATTGAACAGACTGTCAAATTACAGCAGAAAGGCTGGGGAGTGTTGGGGGAAGGGGAAGAGATCAACCAAAGGACTTGTATGCATGCATATAAGTGCAATCAATGGACACAGACACTGGGGGTGGGGGTGAGGATGATATGTGACAGGAGGTAGGGGAGGCCTGAGAAAAGTCAGAGGAAAAATAAATTAACAAATATAATAAAAGTAACCACAACGGATGTTCTGAAATTAAACTTTAACTGATAGCTATTATGGTGCGTAGTTACATCCTAGGCCCGTATCTTCACTGACAAGGGCTTTTTAAAAAAATTATGTTGCTGAATCCAGTGGCATTGGCAAAGCCATGTCCTGGAAATACACCTTGCCAGCTTCAGACCAGGCACCACCAGGGAGTGGGTTTCATTATCTAAATCCATCCAAGCACCAGGAATGAATACAACTTGGGCCCATCAAAGAATGCACATAATCTCCTTTGACTTGTCCTTTAATAAAATTTTCTGGGTTTTGCTGTATAAAATGAACACAGTGCATTGGGTCTGGGTCCCTGTCACTCCCTCAGAGGACAGTCGTCCCACCTGGCCCCATTTTTTTCCTTCCATCTCTGTAGCTGACTTTTTCTTTCATTTTCTCAATCCCCAGCCTCCCCTATCCAGGAACCAGTCCAATCTCTAACTGTACTCGATGTGGAAAAGAGATAGTTACAGTCACACAACTACACTATACACAAAAATAAACACAAAATGGATAAAGAACTTAAACATAAGACAGGAGACCATAAAAATACTAGAGGAATCCACAGGCAGCTTTACCTTAACTGAGCATATCTGTTTTTTTACATCTATGATAACACTAGAGGCCTGGTGCATGAAATTCCTGAACTCAGGGTGGGTCCCTCAGCCCAGCCTATGCCCTTTCACAGTACAGGAGCCCTCAGGGGATGTGCAAGTCCTAGAGAGTGGGCCTTATCCGGCAGTCGAACATCCTTAGGGCTGCAGAGGCAGGAGAGGCTCCCACCAGTGCCTCTATGCTCACCAGCCATGAGCTTGGCTTCTGGATGAGCAGCACTC